AATAAAATCACAATATCTCGTGCATGAGCTCTCTTTTGATTTCATCTTTATTTCATTCACAGAAAAGACTACAGCAGTATCACACCAGACGACCAGTCCGATGGTGGCGGGTCAAATGCAAGCAGTGGTAAGTAGGTCAAGGTCAAATATTTGCATTTGTAAGTAGGTCAAGGTAAAATACTAGAAGTGATACGAAGGTCGAGGTCATTCTTCAGGATATACTGCACCAGTTACTGATTCTTCAGGATATACTGCACCAGTTACTGCCCCATTAATTTTTCGTTCGATTATCATCTTTTTAGCTTTATTAAATAAGTAGTGTTTATTTATTTATTTATTTATTTATTTATTTATTTATTTATTTATTTATTTATTTGTGAATTTATTTATTTATGTCTCTTTGATGCAACACAATTTGAACTCAGTTTTTTTTTCGACAGTTTGTAGTTGTACAGAATTTAGAAAATTAATACGATATGAAAACTGTCTGTCCCTAATTTGGCTTACAGTTAATAGACGTAAATATCCTGCGTTGTCCTATTAATTTCCCGATACTACGTACACCAAAACCGGTTTAATCCCATTTCCCTCACTTAATCGGGGCACTCTTGAGGCCCGCGGAAATGAATGCTGCTATAAAATAAGGCACAGGGGTGTTGTTAAGTGGATGGTAAGTAACCATGGATGTGTATCTTCACCACTGACTGCCACCTGCGGCTCTCTGGCCGAAAGTGCTGCCCTCTGTCTTATAGCTTTGAAATTATTACTGTCTATATTGATGATGATATCCAAAGACTAGCCAATGCTCCCTACCTCCCCCCCCTCTCTCTCTCTCTCTCTCTCTCTCTCTCTCTCTCTCTCTGTTGGTCTTCTCATTTTCTGGAAAACCAAGACTTCGATTGTCTAAAATACGTAGTACATGCATATGATATATATGCTCCCGACAGTTGAGCACTCTGCAACACACTCACGCTTATTATATATGCACATTTAAAATAAATAAATAAAAAATACAAGAAACATGCATCAACCCCGACTCCACACACACACACACACACACACACACACACACACACGGTGAGTCACGTACAAGGCATTGTTTCTGATATGTGCATCTTTTGCTGACTTCGTTTTATACCTCTGCATCATCAAGTGATTTATAGAATGTTTATTTTCTCTCTTCAGTCGCCCATTGCCACGACTTACAACGACTGTCTCCGGCAGTTGACAAAAGCACAAGGAATCGCTTAATTCTCGCTAGTATACTGTGCCTTATTTTCACCGTCGCCGAAATCATTGGTAAGTAGTCAGGACTGTTCACATTTGGCTCACTTTAGACCGCAAATGAGACCAACTGTCTGCGTCGGCTCCTGTATGGACGTGTTGTTGAATTACGTATACATTGAAGTATGATATTTTAAAACGAATGGTTTGTATTTACCACTTAAAAACTTTAATTAAACAAATCAATGTTTTGCCTTCATTATCACAGTAGCACAAATTTAATACTGGTGACATATACATGATGATAATAGTTACTGAAAGATATACTTTCATGAAATAATATATATGGAAGGTTGTTTCAATAGATTGCTGGAAGAATTCAATAATGTTTGCTTCAAGAGTATCTCTTTCTAATTATTCAGATCATACCGATAATGATTTCTTCTGATGCTGTCAAAGTTTCTGTAAACTTGTTTCTCTCCAAAAGGTGGCGCTGTGGCCGGAAGTCTCGCTATCATGACAGACGCCTCCCACATGTTAACAGACTTTGCCAGCTTCATGATTAGCTTGTTCTCTCTCTATATGGCTTCCAAGCCGGCCACAAAAAAGATGAGCTTCGGATGGCACAGAGCAGGTACGTCTATCTGTATGACGTCAAATTGAAAAAAAAATGACGTCACTTAAGTGTTTATGACGTCAATTTGAACTGTATGGCGTCACACTGATCTTTATGAGGTCATTTTGGTTAGTATGGCGTTACATCGCTTCATTGCGATTTCGGTGTGACACGAATGGTAGTCCGCCAGAAACCGCAGTACGTCCCCCTGTTATTTTGTACAGAGATGCATGTTTCGTTCGTCCCATGTATCGAGCCCAATACTTTCGGCTAACCCTATCATGAACGAAACATGCGGAACCCCAGAATGCCATTCATTTGGGCTATCTTCCCTGTCCCCATTTCATTGATATATCGTCATTAATTTGTTTGAATGCGCCTTTTGTGTCTGAACTTCTCCAGCTGCTTCATGTATAATGATGGCTTGTTGGTTTTTTTGTGTGACCTGACGCCCCGAAGGCCTTATTAATGTGGAGAATAACCCTTTTTATCAATAGCATTAAATAAAATTATCTCCATTACATATTATCTGTTCTTGTAATATGTAAACTTAAAACAACTTTGTCTTGCAGAGGTGATGGGGGCCATGGTGTCTGTGTTGTTAATATGGATCCTGACTGGAGTGTTGGTGTACATGGCAATCCTCAGGGTCATCCACATGGACTACGAAATAGACGCCAAGATTATGTTAATCACCGCCGGGATAGGCGTAGGCATCAATATACTGTAAGTAGCTGGGATTATGGGTGCGTTAATTATATTGCAAGTAATCCCCTTGTAAAGACGGGTGGGAAAGTCAGATATAATGATCATGATAGTAAAAGGGTTATAACAGCGAAGAGTTAATACGGGAATTGATCTTTAAAAAGCAACAATGTTATTTCATTGTACCAAAATATTGTGAATCCTTTATCCTATATCATGTTATTTATCATAAAAATGTTCATATTGTATATCTCTAGGCTGGGAATGACCCTTCACCCCCACTCTCACTCCCACGGAGGAGGGAGCCACGGCCACTCCCACGGGCCGCTAGCGCCACCACCGGATGTAGAGTCGCCCCTCTCAGACGGATATGACGCAAAATCCACTTCCGAGTTAGTCCCGCACTCAAAGGAAAATGGCCACGGACACGGTCATAGCCATAGCAACGGTGGTCACGGTCATAGTCATGGCGACGGTGATCACGAGAGTGACAGTGGTCATAGTCATGACAACCACTCGTCGGAGAGTGACCACGGACACGGGCACGGGCACGGAGGAAAGCAAGAAAATTTAAATATACGTGCAGCGTTCGTGCACGTATTAGGGGACTTATTTCAAAGCGTTGGAGTATTAATAGCAGCCTATATTATTTATTATAAGGTAACAGTTTATCCATAGGAGCCCTACGTAATATTTTAGCCATATTTACAGAAAAATAGAATGTGGTAACTAACACAGTCAGACAAAACATCTGGCTGTTGTTCATGTGTTACCATGGTGGATTTTATCATATATAATAGTTCTTGTATTAGTAAGTACTATTTAACTCTAGTTATAAGTTCAGTAATGTTGTTCAACTATGTTCACAATTGTCGCTTGAGGCTGCTTCAAGGTGCTGAATGAAAGCATGGCAATTCTGTTTAGTAGTTGGAGAATTTGCTTTTGAAGCACCCCCAATTTAGTTGACTCTGTTCGGTATTTATATTTTACACGTCCGTTATCTGCAAATTGGCTTTTTTATTTCGTTTCAGCCTGAGTGGAAAATAGTGGATCCTATATGCACGTTCGTGTTCTCCATATTGGTTCTTATCACCACGGTAACCGTGTTGAGGGACGCGCTGAATGTGCTCATGGAAGGTAAGCACAATCGTCACAACCAGGCATCTCAACTACCGCAATCGCTGTTGCTTGATTCATTTCTTTGACAGTAATTGACTGTAACATAAATTAATAATGCATTTATTAATAAAATATCAGCGTATGACTTGTACATATCAGAACGTATCATGGTTCAACTCCGCAGCATTATATTTTCGCAACGGTTGCAGTAAGTTCGTAAAATAAATTTAACATCGCAGGAAAAAGAAATGCCTACTTTTGCATCCATTGTGTCCCTTTTGGCCTTGTGTTAAGAGCATTTATAACTTGAAATTAATGGAACAAATTTTATGGATTTATTACTTGGCAATCTTGAGGGGCGTGCCTCTCGCCTTACAGTCGAGTCTGAAGATGAATTCGCCTTTGCCAAGTTATATTACATTGATACACCAAATATACAGTATATTTTGTCTGTTTCAGCCACGCCGCGGCATATGAATTTCAATCAAATAAAGCACAAATTCTTAGAAATCCCCGGAGTGAAGAAGGTGCATAATCTCAGGCTTTGGTCGCTAACGACACACAAGTTAGCTTTATCGGTGCACTTAGCAATAGGTGAGTTTGTTCTCTCTCTCTCTCTCTCTCTCTCTCTCTCTCTCTCACACACACACACACACACACACACACACACAAGGGCTAGCACGCCTTTCTAAAATCACCCAAATATGCTAAGCACCCTTCAAAACCTTAATCGCTTTCCCCACGTGTCAGAGAATGATACAAATATCTATTCTTTCGTCAGTGAGAACGATCTTCATGTGACACCCTTTACAAGAAATGAACAGAGTAGGGGTTGTTGGTTTTAACGCCAGATTCCCTAAATTTACAAAAAAGCAATTGACTAACATCTATCCTATCTTATTACAGATTTAGATCTCACGGATTACGAGATCGTTTTAAGAGATGCAACCGAAATCGTCAATGACCTTGGAATTCACGAACCAACGATTCAAATAGAGGCTCTTCACGTTGATATGTCAGACTGCGAACGCTGCATGGACCCCGTGTCAGACTAAGGTGCAACCTGCATTAAGAAATAAGAGCCCCGTGTTTTTCTCAGTGTGACCCCCATGTGAACAAATTGGCCCCGTCTTTGGAGAAAGTGGGGTCGGGTTACAATCACTAAAAACATGGGTTTTGCTATGGGAGGTTTTTAAGTGAATCAACATAAACCTGGATTCAGGAAGCAAAAGAGCTCTGTGTAGACAGAGGGAAGGATTTTCATTTGAAAATTTGGATTTTGTTTTAAAGTGTTGAACCTATTTGTGATGACGCACAAGCTGTGTATCATGTTGATTGATCTTGTATCAATGAGGATAACGTTACAGGGCGATTGAAGATATTCTTTTGTTGAAAATAACGTGGAATTTCCAAACAGGTGTTTCCTGGTGTTTTTCATCGCTGTTAATTTGAACAGTTTATTGTTCATTGCTACTTATTCAAAAACAATGGCTGGCACGTATACCAAACACACTGCTGGCTTCATACGTGATAGATGGCCGGATGAAATCGGATGATTCGTAGCTATCTGACCACATTTAATACAAATATCAAGTGAACATCGCATCGACAATTGTCACCAAAATGGGGTTAGAAAGTCGGGTCACTTAAAGGATAAAAATCTGGTGGACAGAACATGCGCATTGCGGAACTTTTTTCCTGGAATGTGTTTCAGGGCAATATTCAGAAATGAAAAAAAAAATCTGAAACACAGGTTTTGCTTAAAAGGCATGGAGGCCAGTTACAAGGAATATCCCTGTATGACAAGGTGTGCAAGAAGCACCAGGCAGTATTTTTATTTTTATTTTATTTTATTTATTATTATTATTTTTTGTGACATTTGACAAAATATGGGTAAGGTTATGATCTCCAAGGCAAATATGTTAAGAAACAACGTAAAGGCCATTTTGAGCTCAAGGTTTGTTTGATCAAAACAAAGTGATGACTGAATGAAACAAGTGATATATGTGATATGATCTACCTGGATGTCATCGTGCACTGAAATTGGCGGTTTCATTTGATATCATATTAACTGTATGTAGAGACCCCCATTTTAAGGGAAATATTATGATAAAACGGGGTTTTATTAATTTATTTCTTTTTTAAATATCAAATACAGACACAAAATGTTCAGTGTCTCTCACAAGTTTACAGCTTTAGAATCTGAATACAAACTCTATGGTGTTTTTTTAGATCATATTTTAACAGGCTCCAAGATCTTAAATAATGTCTTCCAATCTAAGGCGCTAGATCTGTCTTACAGGTATACTGTATATCAGGATGCAAATAGACTACGTTTAACCAATAATAGTATTACCTTTTGTTTTGTTTGAAGTAGTATGTTTTTGGTACTCGTGTATTTAGAAGTAAACGCGATCAATTCACTGAATCGTGGTTAGTCGCAAATTATACGTTTGAGTTTTGTCTCAGTTAAAACTGTGAATAAATATTGTGAATAGTTGTTTTCATATGTAAGTTCTGCTCTCTCTCTGTCTCTCTCTCTCTCTCTCTCTCTCTCTCTCTCTCAGTGTTTGAATCGTAATCACTTCGTGACGTTCTTAAAAGATTCGTGAGATTCGTGAGATTCGTGGTCTGTGTGAAATAGGGGCATAAGAATGGATGTCCGGGTCCAATATTTATACAGGTTAGGGTTAGTTGGAGTATTGGGATTAGTATATGGGACTAATGTCACCTGTGCAAAGTAATGGAGAACGGACTACGGTTCCTAGCGGACTTCCATTACTATTACACCGGTGTAACGTGACAGAGAGCCCCCCATGATAGATAGTCCGCTTCCCATTCATTTGCACAGGTAAGCCTCGATCTAGATTTTGACCCACTTAGGTCAGGC